GGGGTGAACATGTAAAATGTGTAATGCACCATGTACCTACATGGAAGATGCCTATCTACAGTAGGACCTCGGGTCGATTGTAGAAGCAATAAAGCCAGGCACGGACGTTATTCGGTGGCACGAGGTCCAGCACAGATATAAACTGCAGGTAGGTATCGTGGTGATGGACCGGCCACAAATCGTGAGCTCTGTGACACCCATGAATTTCTACAAGCCTTGAGCTCATTCGCAGGTTGACTGTCCATCATTTCTCTCTAAAACCAATCTTTTTTATTACCAAAAACAATTACCTGAGCGAGCAGTCTAGTGCTCTCTCGGAACAAAGTGTACTTAACAGAATTGGTCCGTCTTTCCGATGTCGTGCGAATGTCTTATAATGACTTGCAAGGGATTTCCCTCTATTTAGTCATTAAACTTTAATCTATGCCTAATAAATTAATCTTGTATCTGTAAGGTCCCCATCAGCACTTAGTGCAAGCGGGACTTCTCCCAGCAAAGTGTCTTTATATTTGATCAAGAATCTTGCACCGAATATAATTTGAAGCTGTGATTGTGTCATTTGAAGCTCTTGCAAGAGCGGCACAATGCATAGTGGTAACTGTGGTAACTTTTCATCATGTGTGCACTGTGCAGTGTGCAGCCATGCACATCTGTTTGTGGTAGGCTTTGCTGATCTGTCGTCTAGGGATTTTCACCAGTTGAGGGACGGCTGTAATTATGGTACATACATATTCCTGTTCACAGGGCTGAGAGACGCGATCGCGTCCGGGTTGACCGATTTGCTGGCAGGAATGTATGTATTTTAACCCTCGCCCGTATTGGTGTTTTTTCCAGCCGCGAACGTATAAGGGGGGGGGGGGGTCCGTTGGACCCCCCCCCCTTGCCGTTTCGCCCCTGATCGAGCTAGAGCTTCGCGGAAAAAACGAGCGTGTTGCCCGTGACGAGAGGAAGCCGATGCTACCCAATTTTAAGGTCCTAGGTCATTGGTTGACCTTGCAGGTCAAATCAATGACCCCAAAGGCGAGAAAATCGGGACCTGTTAGAACGTCGTAAAGTGTGGCTGCTGTGGGGTTTTTCGGGGTGCTGATCACGAATATCGTGTTAGTTTTGATCAGAGATGATGTCTTTAAGCATTTAGACCAGGTCGGGTCCGGTCAGGTCAGGTCAACCAGTAAGGGTATTCGTAGTAGGTGGCAACCGCCTCTGACAGCTTCGTAACATGTTACGAAGGCACCAAAACTACTTCGTAAATGTTCATATGGTTGCTAAATTCGAATTCAGCTCCAAAAACTGGCCTAAAAACATGTAAAACTCAAAAAGTGAACCGAGGTCATCAAAGGTCAATGACCTGACCTGACCTTCAGGTGACCTTGACACCCACCCTAATGCATGGGGGCAACATCATATCACATGTTTGAACGTTTGAAACCACGAAAAGACTGCAAACGCGCGGCTAATGCGAGCCGACATATGTACGCCGAATCGCGATTCCAGCCAAACATGGTCTCGAAAAGTAGGTCACAGGTCAAAGGTCATTTGGGTCAGGGTCATGAAATTTTCAGGGTAGGTGTGAAATTGATGAACGCGAGAGTACCTACTGAAAGTTTCGTCGCGATCGGCCGCTTTCTACGCGAGTTATTCGCGAAAAACCATGGGGGGGGGTCCGTTCGACCCCTCCCCTATACGGGCGAGGGTTAAGCTGTCCAGTCCCTGTTCACCTGTTCAGTTCCCGTTCACCAGTTCAGTTTCTGTTCACCTGTTCGGGGACGGGTGTGACCAGCCGCTCGGCCTCCGCCACCAGCGGAGTGAAATGCCGCTGACAGAGCTCGTCGCCGACGGCGCCGAAGCCGGCGGCGATGGGCAGCGCCAGACCGGTCGGCGGCTCGTCGCTGGCCACTGTGCTGCTCACAGAGACGTCCGCCGAGCTGCCGCGGCCTGCCGGCGAGCCCGGCGGCGGCCCACGCCCAGCCGTCACGGCGCGCGGTGCGCATACATATAGGTATGTAGATAGTGGCAGACAACAATGGAGAACTTCTAATGAACATGAAAGTCACCTGCATCTGAGTAAGAGCTGTATCAAAAAAGAGCAGACATTCCACAGTGATACTGACATTTCCAGGGAATATGCTATGACTGATTTGACCACCTATATGATTAACTGATGACACACAGGTGATACAGCTAGCTCTAACAACTGCGGTCTATGCGATAACCGCTCAGACTGCGGACTGTCGACCACACAGACCATTCGGCCGGTACGTGTGCGCCTGCTCTGGTCTGTCTTGCTCGGTGCTCACCCTTCTCCCTGGGTTCGAGCGGCAGCGGGCGCGCCTCCTCTCCGGCTGGCTCTTCCTCGGCGGCGCGCTCGGCGATCGGTGTTGTCAGCGTCACCTGGTCGGCCGAGGGCGCGGCGCCGCCGCACTCGGCGCCCACCATCTCCATGTGACCGGGCCGCTTGGTGCGCATCCTGCGGCAGAGGCGGTCAGCTCGGCATCGGACAGCCGCTGCGACCACTGGGTGCCAGCTGGCCAGCCGAATAAATCCACCAGGCCATAGAGGGGACGGGGCTGGTGCTGAGCTCAAAGAACAGCAGCATACAAAGTCATGTAATGAACAAAAAGTCGAAATAAATGAGTTATGGTATCTCTAAATCTCAGAGAACTCAAGCCAGACATAAATGAAACGTAATTCGGTTGTAGCAATTTCACTGAATTATGTAACATATCACTGAACATTGCGGATTGCGAACCACCTATCAGTTACGCTTTCTCATAGCACGATGGCCAAGCTACAATGAAAAGGCTGATGGGAACGTCGGGCGACGCGTCCCCGCGGAGTGCCACCGCGCTGCAGCCGGTGCAGCAAGGGGACGGGACGGCTACTGACGCGCTGGGCACGGCCTCCTTGGCCTCGGTGACGGTGACGTTGACCTTGTGGTGCAGCAGGTCGAGCATGCCGTCCTGGTTGACGGCGATCGGGTGCTCCAGCAGCGCCACCATGGCCGACACGTTGTGACCGTGCACGATGGGGGCCAGGGCCGAGCTGGAGCCGTCACCGGTCACCAGCTGCAGCGGCCAGAAATGGGCGCCAGTCGTTACCATCCGGTATACATAGTGCGGACGGGCACGAGGACACTATCACAGGGTCGGGGCCAAAGGTGGGAGCTGCGACAAGCTCATAGGAGAAACGGGAACGGACGCCAAATGAAGTCGTAACGAGTCCAGTCAAAAACGAGGAACCGAACTGAACTTCTCACTGGCCAACGGCCATTTATGGCTTAAAAACACATTTTACGGCGATACTAATTGTTTCAGTTATAGTGGTGAACGGTGCTTAACTTTATTCACCTACCTTGGCAACTCTGCCCCAGTTAATCAGAGAGACGGAGCATGTCTTGTAGAAGGCAGAAGGAAGCAGGTCATATTGCAGATGCAAATAGCCCGCGGGTTTGGAAGACAGTGTCAGAGGTGACGTTGACTTCTTCAGTGACCCTTCGTGCTCCCGCCATATGGCACACACTGCTAGTTGAAACAGTGGCATGATGAGGAAACAGAAAAGCTGCCAAAAAGGCAGGCCACCGAGTCTTTGAGGTGACAAAGTTAATGCTAGACGTTCTTTTAGTGTTTTTGAAAATAGTGTATTATTATCAATTAAATCAATCACGTAATTAAGCACATCACACAGTCACAGTGCTTCACGCAGTTATGCATTTCCGATGGGACCAAATGCACAATACCGGTCTAGCATCTCGTGCAATAAGCGATTGTTACCAGGAAATGAGCGAGTCTTGACGTAAATTTGATGAAGCTAAAATAAAGTCAGCAGCTGAGGCAGGCGCCCGCGTTTGTCCTGATACAGACAATTGTGACGCCATGTTGCGTTGAAAAGGTGCAAAGGCAAAGTCTACAACGCTGGATTTATTCAAGGCCTTGAAACAGCGATTACATTAACTGACTTTACTCAATCACAGGAAAAGTAACACGTGGCGTGTGATTGCATCATTCCTCTTTCTCGATTAAAATTTGCGCTACGCCTTACTTTTGGCGAATCAAAGAACGATGCTAACAGTTTCTATGGACCCATTGGACTATTGGTTTCTATGGACCCATTGGACTATTGGTTTCTATGGACCCATTGGACCATTGGTTTCTATGGACCCTCAAGCAGGGCTGCGGAGTCGGAGTCGGAGTCGGAGTCGGAGTCGGTCGGAGTCGACAGTTGTGACCGGAGTCGGAGTCGGAGTCGGAGTCGATTTTAGAAACCCGAGCCGGAGTCGGAGTCGGAGTCACCGAAAATCTCTCGACTCCGCAGCCCTGCTAGGTCTGCAGAGTCGGAGTCGGGAGTTGGAGTCGGTCGGAGTCGACAATTCTGCCCGGAGTCGGAGTCGGAGTCGGAGCTGGTTTTTGAAAGCCGCAGTCGGAGTCGGAGTCGGAGTCGCCGAAAATCCATCGACTCCGCAGCCCTGCCCTCAAGATCCATTGAGGTCAAATGAGACGAAATTTCGTGCAGAATGACGCACAGTTTAGCTCTACATAATGTGTTTGAGAATACATCGCTTAACATATCTTGCGATAACGGATAATACCTAGCAGGTTGGTGCAATTAAAAAAGAAATCTGTTTTGCATCATACATTTATTAATGGCCTTGTTTTAATAGCATAACTGCACCAATGAAATTAGGACGACAATCAAACGAAGCATCATGAATAGCAGCGCCCAGCATTGCAACTTATCTGACAGCCATTGCAAGTCGTGAACAGTCTTTTTTTTTTGAACCTATGAAACCTATTTAATTACTTCTTTGAAAAGGCATACCTAATATCCCGGCCATATACCTAGTTAGTTCTCCTGACGACGACAATGCAGATAAAGGTTCAACAGACTGATCTAACAAAAAAGTGACACAATGAAGACGATGAAGCAAGAAAGGCCACCTCCTTGTTCAATACGAGTACCTAATAACTTATTTTATTTTATGTTATTTTAAGCGGCACATAATCGATACCGACTCGTCGATGTTTGAAGCTCACATGAGGTTTGAACGCCGGCGCGATTCGTCGAGTTGAGAGGGTGCAGTAGGTATGGTGCAGTGCAGTGCTCAGGCCGAGTGCCGAACTCGCCGCCGTATATGTATAGCACCGGGTTTCTCCTGAACACTATCGCTGTGCACGAGTCAACTGATGCCGGCGCGCACTGTGCAGGGCGAGGTCGCCTCGCCCTCAGTTACCGCAACTACGAAAAGGGTACCTAGCGCCGCCGGCACGACTGATAACATTATGCTATTTCATTCATGTGCAGCTATAGTTATAGCCGTATGTATGTAGTATGCAGAAGCATTATCTCAGTTGTCTGATGGTGATGAGTAGGTCCTAAGTGCCCCGCTCTACTCTCTGATATAATAGGTGACATATTCGTAGAAGTCGGATCCGTCCAGATGGGGTTTGTTGTTGGTGCCGATCATGGTCCAGAAGATCTGGTTGTCTCCCTGCGGCTTTCCGAGCGACAGCAGCGAGTGGCCGGTGGCCGGCAGCCAGGGCAGTCGGAACTGGCCCTTGCTGCGGCTGTCGGACACGTATCCGCCGATGTCCTTCTCCAAAATGAAGTCGTTTTCGGCGCTCTGCGCAGCCTCGTCGGCCGAGTGGATCACCAGGCTCTGGCTGGTGGGCAGCGAGCCCATGAAGCCGCGGTAGCCGCCCGTGGACCTTTTGCCCACGATACGGATCTGGTAACGCTGCCGGGCGCCCGACAGACGGAGCTTATCAGCCCGCGCCAGCAGCGAATAGGCGCCGTGCGGGTTGTCCACGTTCCGCTCCAGTATGTTGGACCGGTCCCAGCCCGTACTCCTGCGGCAAGGTAGACAACGGGACGTGAGCGGCAGTGGGAATAAAATGCACCGTTGGTGCAGGATGGCGACACAGGCACTTGGGGCAGGATGGTGACACAGGCACATGCTAGATGTCGTTTCCTATCAGTTTGAGTCCTGCCAGACCCTCTCAAAGGAGGTCTAGCCACTTTCGGCAAGCTTCACTTATGAGCCTTATTAAAAAAGCGTCTTACATACCTATCCTTTTCACTAATGGTTTATTTAATTTCTGGCATTTCAGATATACTGAAGAAATTAAATTGAGTTAAGTTTGTTCGCGTTTTTGATGCGTTATAAAAAAACAACTGAATTATTAGCTCATGCAAAAGGTTTATAAAACAGTTTTGTTATGTAATATCTTAATTCTTATCTCCATGCCACTGGCTGCGCTAACCCTGTGGTGAAGTAGCCGATCTTGGTCCAGCCTGTGGTGCCGTTCATCTCTCGGCAGTAGAGCCGGATGGTGGCGCCGTCGACGGAGCCGTAGAAGAGGCCGCTGGCCGGCGCGCCGTACGTCTCGCTGAGGTCGCGGCAGGTGACCGTGACGTCGGTGGTACACAGCCGGCCGTAGCACCTGTCGTCCGGCTCCAGGCAGTCGGTGTCCAGCCGGCAGAACTGGCGGTGCTCGGAGCGGCCCGGCCGGACGAACAGCGCGCTGCCGGCGGCCACCCGCAGCCGGCGGAAGTCGGGCACGGTCCGGTACAGCCGGCACGTGCCGTCCGCGGCCGTGAAGCTCAGACTGGCGCAGTGGCGCCGCTGGTGACAGAGGCCGCAGCAGGCGCAGCTGGTGGCCGTGCTGACCGGCGGCTCGACCAGCTCCGAGTCGGCCAGAGTGCCGCCCTGCAGCACGGTGGACGCGCAGCCGGCGGCCGGGTCCGGAGGCCACACCAGCAGCGTCGCCAGCAGCAGCGCGCGCCGCGCCGCCATCACTGCAACACAGGCACCGGGCGCGTCTGACGGGCGCGCCACGACCGCGGCCCGGTGCTCCGCTGCTCTGACTCTGACCACCACGGAGCTGTCGCCCAGAGGCCGCCCGCATCGACCAGCTGCGTAACTGGCTTCTCAGTCCTTTAATCAAACCGATGAGAATGACAACGAGTAACCAATAACCATACCATGTCATACTGTTGTGGCCGGCGGACTAGGCCCTATGTGAACCAAAATACATTCCAAAATACACAAAATACATTCCAGGGTCCAATTAATCTATACCTATGAGTGAGTGAGTACACAATATGCAACACACATAGCATTGCCGCCCAGAACAGACCCAACGTGTTTCGTATTCAAGTTCATACCACTCAGGCATGTATTTACCTAAGAGCAGCACTGATGACCAGATAAAGGTTCAACGCTTAATCAACTGATGTGCGATAAAGTGAACAAAGTAATGAACAGTCCATTTGACCCCTTTGAACTGAATTAGGTAATGCAAGTCGTTGATGCTGTGAGCTATGGCTTGTTTCAGCATTATGATGAATATTAGGTATGGCGTTGAAAAACGACCTTATGCTCATGTTACGGTGGTGAAATAATAGTGAAATACGGCAAAAAAAATATTTTCATTTCTAATACCATAATATAGAAATGGTACATAGTTAGGGGTAAAGTGGGGGGAGGGGAAGGGTGACAATTAGGGGGTCGATACACTTACTGATTTTGTCGAGTGGTGCCTCTGAAATGGCGCGCCAAGGGCACGCCATGTTTTTGAAATCATGCACAACTCGAGAGGCGTTGAGCACTAGCGACCGAGAGCGGGCTGCCCGATTGGGAACCATGGCACTCGATTTACACGTTTACGCCCGGCACCCGATTTACACTATTACGCGTGGCACCCAATGACACTATTACGCGTGGCACCCACTTACACTATTACGCTTGGCAACCGAATTCATTATTACGGTCAGGTCACCAGAGGTCATCACAGGTCAAATTTAGTCAATTTCAATAATTTTGGAAACTGCCAACGGCTAACTTGGGAACCAATAGAACTACAGTGCCGCGGAAAAGCGCATTCGATAGCCCTTTAACAGACCTTTCTGATTAATGTTTTCAGGTTTGACCATAGGTCACGGTCTAGCCTCCAGAGGGCAAAAACTGTACGAAAACTGTTTTTCGGCAATTAATTTTGACTCAAGAGAGCCACGACATTACTTTTGGCAGCATCGTGTTCCTCTCGTCGAGACGCGTCGAATGAACTATTTGTTGACCTTGAAAGGTCATTTTGAAAATTTGACCTCAGGTCCAGGTCATGACCTGACCGGAAAGGGTCATGCTGCTGCATATCAGTCGATCTGTATCGTCGACATAAACACATCATCTGACGTGTTTTCACCGCTCACCATAAGTTTAAAGTCTGTACAGAGCCATAGGGAATGATTGTGGTTCTATCCTTTTCGTCACGAGCGCCCGGTCAATTAGCGTCGCCGCATTGCCGAACGCCGATTGGTCGATTTCCGTTAGCGCATGGACGCTGCTTGCGGGCACATTGCCTGTAGAAAGCATACCACTTTCTCCAAATTAATTTTTTTTTGCTGCAGTTTTATGAGCTTTGATGGTTAAAATGATCAGGAAAGAAAATAATGAATAACAAGAAGAATTTGTTTTTTAAAAACATTTTTATATACGATGAACTATTTTCCGTCTTTAGTGGAGTGGAGGCTAGATGGTGTTTGCAGCGAAAGCTGCTTACGAATTGATCAATATTAGCAATTTTCACGACGGCCATCTCGTACATATTTGGTACAGATTAGGTGCAGATTTGGTGTAGGTTTGGTCAAATAAGGTTCACTGCGTTTCTTAAAAGTTGTGTGGACCTCATGTTTCAAATTATCAGACATTATTTTCGATTAAAACACTGAAATAAAGCCATGGTATGAAACTATTTATTGTAAAAGAGATTTGGTGCAGATTTGGTCAAATTAGGTGCATTCGCCAGATAGTAGGTACGTCGTGAAAACGGCTAATATTATCTGGCTCCGACCAACTGCATGCTGATTGGCCGACGGTTAGCCTCTTCCATGCGTCTTCCTGTATATTTTCTGACAATCCTTCACGACCGTCTGTCACACTTTTTGTAATGCTAAAAAAGTCGAAGCGTATCCCTGGGCACATATGTAGTATGTACGTACATACTACATAGGTAGACGGTGGATAGAGTCTGCACCGATCAGCCTGTGGCCAACTGTTCCACGGCCCAGTGGCGACCCGTGGCGAGGCGCTGTTCACCGGACAGTATTTGCCGGGGCGAGCCGTCTGGCCAGTGGCCGACCATCACTGTCAAACATGTTCTCCAGACACAACTTTATCGCCGCTCCTTACTTGCTGGTGTTAAGCTAATGGAACTCGTTAAGCTGTCTTACACTTAAAAATGTACGTTGCGGCAGGAATCGATTCCTGCTGCGGACTGCATCGCTTTGGCCTCGTTTTTGTCAAAGGTGGGGCTTTCCACGACAAATCGACAAGTGCCCTGCACCCTCATATTTTATTTTCTGCTTATAATTGGTCTAATAGGTTGTGATGGGCGGGAAAGCCAGCTTAGGCAAGGATTTTTTTTTTTCATCGAACAACGGTTTCCGAGATATAGCCTCGGGCAATTCCTGGAGGTCACGCTGCAACCCTATATGTTTGGCAGCTTATAACTCAGAAACTGTTGGTTTTCTATGATGAAAACTTTATATGGTTCAACTCGCAATCAACCATCAAATATTTAAGCTATCTCGGATTTTTAATTTTTGAAAATTTTGAACACGTGACCTCTTGACTTATTTTTTTAAAGAGTGACCTTGATATTTTCCCCACTGAAAGTTGCAATTTTGTCTGATGACGGTTAAAGCCTTATCAATTGTAATTCATATGCGATAATAAAAAAGTGGTTATCGGCCTGCGTTGGCCTCAGGTCAGGGCCATCGTCCAATGTTGTCCAGTCTGCTACCTTTGTCCAACCAATTCCGAATTGGACATTGGACAAAATCAAAACTCCTAATATCCAGGTTCCGATTGGCACCACTATAACAGATGAAGTAAGGTTGGGAGAGTTTTTATTGAACGGAAATGATAGACGATCTGTTAACTGAAAAGCCTAAAACTGGCCGTCAAATTAATGTATCGTCCATACGGGTCGCGTACTATGCACATGTTCGATCAATTCTCGAGTACGGTAGTGTTGTTTGGTCGGGGGCATCAAAAACAAACACAGACAGACTCGAGAGAGTTCAACACAAATTTTTGATCTGGCTGAACCGATGCTCTCCCCCGGCCACAGCCTCTCAAAGTTTGGACTACGCTGCCCTGCTTCGGCACTTTCGGATGTGTGCACTGTCTTCTCGAAGGGTGCAGCATGACATTTTATTCATCCGCAATGTTTTTAAAGGGAGGATCGATTCGGCTTTTCTTTTACGGAGTTTTTGTATATCTGTACCTGTTAGGTTAGGTCGCCAACTATCGCTATTTCAAGTGCCATATGCACGTGTGTGTACAGTCAGAGATGGTCTGTTTACGAGGGCACCACGTCTGATCAATGAATATTTTAGGGCCTCGCCGACATCTGATGTTTTGCGATGGTTTTAGCACATTCAGGAGATGTGTCGTTGACTATGTGAGAAGCCGCTAAATGTGCAGCTACTCTTCGTGATTTTAATGATTTGTCATTGTGTTGTATTGTATTATTATAGGTAGGACTTCGTCTTTAAATGGGGTGTCCCCGTCGACGATGAATTAAATAAACTAAACTAAACTAAAGAGAGGCGACTTCTGTCAACTGACCGGTGTGCAGCATGCAGATATTGATGCTCTTGCAAGTGTTATGCTTGTTGTTTTGTTGATTTTTCAAATGAAGGCATGTTTAGAATTGGTCTGCTAATTTGTTTATGCATCAAACAACATCGGTACCGGCGAGATTATCGTTTTTATGGCACGTAAAGGCAGTATGTTCAAATTACCCCACGGTGGGGCAATTTGAACACACCGTGACTTGGTGGAGAAAAAAGGCTATGCTATCCAAGGTACGCTCGGCTCGTCCAAACAATGAGGGTTGCATGGTGAAAGGAAGTGACATCTGCGCTACTGAAACAGTTTTTCTTCATCCAGGGTTGAGTTGGAATTTGGTGCAACGGAGAAGACGTAAAAATATGTTCAAATTACCCCACCCTACCCTACCTAGGTAGTCCACCCGACAATGGTTGCAGTCACGCCAAAAGACTGTTCAATGTTCATATATTTGTAAAAGCATTTACAAACTGAAGACCTGAGACTAAGAAACAGCCTACCTGACGTTCCACTGGATGGCGCTAATGCGTCTGGCCGGTGCGCTGGTCTGAAGCCGTGTGACCGGTCGGCCGTCCGCCGCTGATGCCTGCCGGCAGCTGGAGCCGACGGACCGGCACCCGGCTGTGACCTGGTCCGGCAGTGCCGTGGGGCGCAGTCCAGTCCCCTGCACGTACCCCATCGCGGTTATCGTCTCGGCAACCGGCTGACACGCCCTGCATGGCAACCGCAGCCGTCTGGTCGATGGCGAACAAAACACACCAACAAAGGCGCAATTTTATAAGTGTATTCCACTACTGATAAGCAGAATGCCGTTCCTGACCAATGACCATGCTGCATGCAGATGAGAACTGGTTATTCACCTGTACCGCTGTTACTCTAATTACTAGTCGTAATTGCATACTTGGCGGTGCCCGGAACCTTGCTCGTGCCCTAACTTCCATAAGGCACGCAGTCTTCCCCATGGCGAGGCATAGCAAACAAGGATGTTATCAAACCCCGACATCGCCATTTTGTGGGTATGGCAGTAGTCATAATATGCAAAATGTAGATTAATGTTTCCAGTCTAGCGTGTAGCGAGGCCAGATAACCACTGACATAAGTAATTAGGGGATAGTGGCGGCAGTTGGCGCCAGGCGTCAGTAGGGACGGGAGAGACATCTCCCATATTTTTGTTTGTTTGTTTGTTTTGTTGGGTTAGGCCCTTTCGGTCTGACAAGACCATTGCAGAGCCAGAAGGATGATAGGAATTAGGGGGAGACATTGGTCTGGGCAGGCACCCTAGTGAGTCGCCGGGGCTGAGCCCGTCCAGAGGACAGGCCACCCAGCCCCAAGGCACTCACTGCACCCGGCTACGGGGTGCGCTCCCTCAGGAGCAGCGGTGCCGCTCCAAGGGAGCAGCCCGCATGAGATAAAGTTGCCTGTCCAGCCCGGAGGGGGGTTGCGGCGTGGAGGAGAAGGATTTCAGCATCCTGAGGATAGAAGCACGG